AATCTGCAAGTTTTGCTTGAATGAAGAACTCAAAAGGTAACTTCTTACAAAATAAAATCTCTGCAGTGATTTGTGAAGAATAGATGTAGGCAGAGATTTATGCACAGGTCCTGCTTTGTGCGGGTGCGTCCTTGATGCAGGTTATGTTGAATGAGGTGGCTTTGTGAGTGGCAGCAAAAGGAGAGAAATTTGTTTGGGGTTGTGGAGCTTTTTTGTCACAAGGAGATTTTATTTAACTAGAAAAAGAATAGTCCTAGGTTTATTTAGTAACTGGAGGATGTGGAAACTGGAGAAAAATTGAGGAAATACTTTGCCATTAAGTTGAAAGGGAAAGCAGAAATTTTGCCATTTAGTTAAAAGAGGAAACAATCTCAGAAGTGGAATGAATACAGAGTTCTCAGATGTTGGGACATTATAAGGAAGTGCTTAAAGTTAGTGTGAATAAGAAAGTTACTATTAAACTCTCTTCCCCATTCTGGAGTTTGGTTTTAGTCTGTGTTTTTATTTTTTCATGTTTAATGTGGTGTTTGCTTTTACTGTCATACAAGAAGATGATGCAGATTCTTTATGCAAATGTCATCTTCAAGCTATTGAATACCAGTAATGTATATACTGGAAGCAATAGTTATTCTGAGGGTATTTTGATTTTAACTATTCATAAACGTTCTGACAGTGCATGTGTGGGTGCAGGGCAGCATGTGTGAGTGTCCTCTAGTTGTGTTTAATGCTTCCTATGTAGTCTGCATCATTTGTCTCCTTTTATTCTGACTCTGGGCCCTACACTGCCCTGTGTCTGCAAGCCCGTGGCTTTTCCTCACAGTTGCTGTGCTGTTTGGCAGCTCAGTCCCTCCCCCATCTTCCCTTCCCCTCGTTATACCCTTCATTGCAAACCTACACGCTGGAGTGGATCAGGGAACCGATCCAGGTGCTTCCCCTTCTCTTGGTTGTTCCCTTGCCAGGGAGAGGAGAGCCAGAGCTCCGTTCTCTGGATGCAGTTTCTCTGGTGCACAGTTTGCTTTCTGTGATCCAAAATGAGTTACTTGTGAATTACTTTAATTAAAACACGAATGCAGTAAAAACATTAGTATGTTTTTATTCATGTTTGAGACTTGCAGTAGAAGTGTGCTATCAGGTTTTATGTCTTTAGTTGATAAAAGGATGCAGAAGACAGAGATTTATGAGAAGGGGTGGGCTGGTTGGATTAGGATTATTTTGGGAAAAGGCTATTAAGAGAGAAACGGAATTGCTTTGACCATTTTGGAATTAGTACTTCAGCCCTTGCAGTGTGAATTGTTAGTCCATGTCTAAAAAAAAAAATACAGCACTTTCTGTCAGTTTTTCTGATAACTATAAAAACCTGACATTGTTAAAGGCTCTGATTCTGTCTTGATTATCATTGTTCAGATGTATTAGTGCTTGCTTTCTCTAAGCCAGTTTCCCTTGAGTCTGTGAATATTCACTGTATTTCAAAAGCTCTGTGCAGTTTTAAATGGCTAAAGAGAAAACTGACAAGCTTGAAAATTAAATTTCAGAGGACCTTCTGAAAATGAAAGAGTTCTCACAAGTCATCCAGACAGAAGTTTATCTTCCTTTAAATTTTGATTTTAATAAATGTATACTCCTTTGTGCATTGGACATAAATCACACGTGCCACTTAATAGTGTCATTTTTATTTTATTTTATAGGCTATTAAAGTGTTATATGTGTTTACACAGATTTATTACAGCAGTTGCTCAGTTTTCAGTTCTTTCATCTGAAAGTAGATACAATGGAAATTTTGGGGCCTGAATGTTTCGCTGCGTTAGGACAGGAGTAAAATGTTGCAGAATTCATTGGAAGCTCTGAGTGTCTGCTGAGAAGAAAATGATTTGCTGTTTTTCATCGGCTCCCTGAAGACATCTGTAAGGAACTGCGTGTTTCATTTCAAGTGGTCGTGTTGAGGAGCTCAGCTTTGCTGTGGGGCTCTGTAGGTCTGTACCCCAGGTACCAGTAAAAGAAAGCCCCTCCCAAAACCCCAAACCAACTAATGGCACGATCTCTGTGGGAAGGCTGGGAATATGGAATACTGATTTTATTTATTTATTTATGCTGCCCTTTTCTTGTCTTAGGACCCTCTAATTTTTTACTCCTCTTATTTTTTAATTTACTTTTTTATTCCCATACTTGTCCTGTTTCCAAGTCCAAAAAACCCCCTAGGCATTAGGTGTTAACCTGTTCCCAAGGCACCCCAAATTCCCAAGAATAATGAGAAAAACTACTGAGTGAAACTTCTTGCAGTTTTATTCCCTAGTGTGAGTGGTAACTGGCTTAATAAAGAAAAACCGATATGACCAGAACAATTGGTTTGTGAGGTTTTATTTTGTGGGGCTTTGAGGTTGGTTTGTTTGTTTGTTTGTGGGTTTTTTGGTTGGCTGTGGTTTGGGGTTTTTTGTTTGCTCCTATGGTTCATATGGCTTGTTGACGTAGTTAGAGTCCCATGAATTTCATGGAGTGTTCTAGAGTGGTTTTTCTTGAGCAGAACTTAATTATATTTTTCATTTTGTTCCCACACTTGCATATACTTAACTGGAGAAAAAAACAAACAAACAAACTTTTATTGCTTATTTTAATGCTTCAGTAATTTAAAAATTTTTATTCAATACCAGCTCCGTTTAAAATGAGTGTAATCTTGAGTCATATATATGGGTCTGGTTTTAACTTGTGCTGAGTTGTATCTTAATGGATTCCCATTTGATCTCAGCCTGTTTTTCTTTGACTGTAATGTCCTTGTTGGCCAAAGCAGATGTGTACAGGTCATGTAGAACAGTGCAACCAAAACCCTGTTATGACCATGTAACAACAGAGATTTTACTGATACCTTTTACAGCTTTTCAAGGTCTGTGGTGTATTATAGATAGTATAAGAAAGAGTGTAACTTTTAAAAATAATACTTTTGAAATGTAACCAGTTTCACTTTCATTTCCCCCCCTCTTCTTTGCCGCTTGTATTTAGAGTCTGTCTTTTGGAAGAAATTGTTAATTAAGTAACTGTTGCCTGCTTGCTAATAATAGTGAATTCTGAAGTCCATTCTCCTTCTCTGTATTATTTGAACACAGGTAGTCAAGAAAGCAGTCACAAGGACTTTACCCCAGGCCTTTTATCTTCTGTAGGGCTGTAACCTTAGAAGGATCTTGAAGAAGTGCTCTTTTTTGTAATGGGTGAAGGCTAATGAGTTTGGCTCCCTGGCTCATCTTAGGTTTCAGCTCTGCCTGCTCTGAGTGTCTGAATGTGTGAGAGAAACCTGGCCAGTGGAATGGCTTTAGGGTGACTTGGTTTGGGGCCCTTCAGTGTTCCAGAGGTGTCTGGGGAGGATTCTTCTCCCATGTAGCTCTTGTTGGGGTTCTGCAGGACCATGTTTCTTGCATCTGCTGTGCCACAGGTGATTGTAGCCTCTGGGACTGTGGGGTGAACAGTTCTGATGATGTGACATGTGGTGTCATAACTATACCATGTTGCCCCCTACACCCTAATTTCCTTTGGACACAGATGTCACAGAACTTACCCAGGCCTAATGAATATGAGATTGGTGTGTGCTGCCCAACAGCATCAATTAAACTTTACCAAGATTTTGGTGGTTCTTTGCAGGATGCAGTTCACTACCTTTTGAATCCTGTCACTACTGCAGTGCTGTAAACAGAGAAAGTTGAATAAACCGTTGCATCTTTATTTGTACTGCAGTCCATGTTTATTCCCTTCAGTGTTTAAGCACTGTTTTTAATTAAATTTAAGCACTGTGTTTAATTAAAACAGATTCATGGTACTTAAACCTTAAAACTACTTAAAACTACCATACAATTACTAAGAGTTTCCAGCGTTTACCAAGTATTACCTTGACATATTCTTGTGTCAGCAGTAAGAAATTCCATCTTAGATTGGCTTTTTACCGGTATGTCCAAGTTTTAAGAAATAAGCATCAATTTTTACTATTACAATTTTTCTAGTTGAGATCAACAAAATTTTTCATTTGCATGTTATGTTGTGACTTGGAAGGTCATTTGCAGGATTTTGGTGCTGAGGCAGGCATTGCTGTCTTAAAAAAAAAAAAAAAAGGCAGATCAAAGGAAGTGAAGTGCTCCCCAGTCTGAGAGCAAACTTGCAGAGTAAAAATATGTATTTCATTCCTGCAACTTTCTGCTATTGTTAGCCTCTTGTGTGCATGAACATTGGAGAAAGGAAGCTGTCTGTGTATTCTTTTGATGCATTTGGTAAACTAACCAGCCACTAAGATGCTGACATTCCTTTTATTATTGTATTAAGTCTTTTTGTCTACTGAGAATTAAGTAAACAGAGCAAAAGTAGTGAATAGTACATTCTCCTTACTTCATTGGTCAAACACATACTATTTTTTGTGAAAGTGTTCCTATTGATGCATGTTATGTGTTCATAGTACAGCAAAAAAATCCTCGTTTTGTTTCAGTGCAATTGATTTTGCTGTGAAAAGTGTCAACGTGGGGGTAATGATTGAATCTTAAAACTTGTTTGTGGAATTATAGTCTTGCTGTGTATTCATATATATGTATTCATGTATATTCATGTAGGGTTATAATTGACGCAGTGTTTTTAGAAATATAAATTAATCAAGCTTGATGTGTTTGTCAGTTCTTTCATCCTTCTTTGGAGTGTAAGTTAACAGTGGTGAACGCCAGCCTCCAAGTAGTGGTATATTGTAAAATTAAGTCTTCAATGCTGTTGTGTTTGCATTCTCCACTTAAACCTGGACTTTCTTGGTGAACTTTATTTTCCTAATAGCCAGTGGTGACTAAATTTCTTCTACAGTGTGTTGAAGATCTCAAACACACAGTGGTAACACAGTTCCCATAAGCGGTTCGTATGTTAATGTGAACTCTGTTTTACAAAAATTGTATGAATGCTGCTTTCCTTTGAAACTGATCTTCAAAAAGAAATCCTGTTTTGTATAATAAGATGCCAGACTCACAAAGATTTCCTTTCTTGTTTCATAGACGTTCCATCTTCAGAGCAGCCTGAACTGTTCCTAAAGAAACTTCAACAGTGCTGTGTCATTTTTGACTTCATGGACACGCTTTCAGACCTTAAAATGAAAGAATACAAGCGCTCCACTCTTAATGAACTGGTGGACTACATTACAATAAGCAGAGGCTGTTTGACAGAGCAGACTTACCCTGAAGTAGTTAGAATGGTGAGTTCCTTCTTTCTCATGGTCTCTTTAAATCCACTTGCAGTTCTAGTTACGTGTTGTGGGTGAAATTGAACCTGGAGTAGGTGGATTAAATGAGGCCTTTGGTTTGTATTTGCTACTAGACATCACTTGGGGATAATTCTCCAGAGACAAAAATGTTAATTTTTATATATTCTTAATTAAATCCAAGGAGATGACGGTTATTTATAATCACAAACCTATGAAAAGAAACCTGGATTGCTTCCTGATGGACAAAACCAGCAGCTATAAAATGGAAGTCCGTCACGTTTCCCCCCACCTGCCCTCCCTCTCCTCCCCAGTATAAATAATGGAATAATTTTTGCAAGTTTCTTATCTTTCTTTGAACCTTCTCCAAGTTCTTGAGATTCTCCAAGTATCTCTGCCTCTACTTTAGGCAGAGATAGCTTGAAGTATGCACAGATAATAATTTTAAAACAATAAATGCTAAAAATATTGTATAGGATCAGTGTGAAAATTTCCTCGTTGTGGTATGTGGATTTATTAGCAGCTGTTGTTAAGAGTGAGCAAGATTACTCAGCAATAAAGCCATACCTTGTATATAGAAATGGTCAGATAATAGTTTTTCAGTGTAAAAATGGAAACAGTACCAGATGCTACGTGGTGGAGGTTCATTGGATTGGTAAAATCAATCACTGCTTTAAAGTGTTTGTTCTGTACTGCCATACAGAACCCTTAAAACCCATTACCTAAATGAGAAGGCAATTAGTTAAATATAGATTTGGTGATGTTGGTTTCCTAATGATGCTGTGTGATCATGGAATCCACTGGCTATGTGCTGTAAAAAGAAAAACACGAATAGATTTTACACTGCATTATATATGCTCCTCACTTCTTTTCTGACACACAGATACATGCTGTGTTGCTCGTCTGTAATACTTAAAAATAGCTGTAAATTGTGGCAGAACCACCAAGCAGTTAATCATGAAAGGGAAAAAACCAGAACTTAAGGGTATATGGAAAAATCTTAATATGGCTTCTCTGTGTGTGTGCATTGTCAGAAAGCCTATAATTATGTGATCAGATTCTTCCCCTTCTCCCTCACCCGCCCTTTCCTGCTCCTGCACTGGACCAATCTTCTGAATGAAGTGCTTTTCAGTCTGTTATGTTATTTGTTCAGCATGTGGTCTCATGCACCATTCAAATACTGTCAGAATACAGAATGACTGGTTCTTTGCTCAGTTCTTCAGCTGGTGCTGCATCTAAATGGTTTGTGAATGTTTTAATCTCCTGTGTATCCCTTGTGATGAACAAAGTGTATCACACCCTTTGCACAGACAGGACAGTGATGCACAGATAACTTCAGAAAAATGGGGGACTTTTTCCACTTACCTCTTCAGAGAATTTGGTAATTCTTTTTAGCATTTCTGTTACTGAGGTTTTATTCTCATGTTGACTTTGTTTATAGTTGTTTACTGCAGCAAAATCTGTTGAATAAAAACTCTGCAAGTTAGTATTGTCTTAGTTTGGGCCTCAAGAAACAACAAGAATTTGATTGGTAACTGCTCATAAAGTTCAATTTGAATCATAAATTGTAGTCTATGAAACAATCTGATCTTGAACTGTGAAAGAAATGCAAAACCCCTTTGGTAGTATGTCCTACACTGTCCCTGTAGTCACTTGTGTTAATTCACACAACAGGTTTTATCTTGAGGAAATGATGCATTGCCTGAAGAGTTTGAAAAGCATGGTTTTAAATAATTTCCTTAAATATAGTCTATGTCTATAATATGGAGGAGTCACTGGAAATAAAGATACGGCCTGAATGTGTCAAGTGGATTTGGTTAATGTTTGCTAATGGAGCTTCAGGAATTCAGTTTCAACTTAGCTCATTTTTGATGGAAAACTGTACTCTCTTCCTTTCATTCTTCAATCTGCTTTTTTCTGCCTTGCATTTGGGCTCCAGTGCTGAACCCAAGCTGTGTTTCCTCTTCATTGCCATGGTACCGAAGCAGGGCAGGACTGCGAATATTCTCCAGTCCTGTGTCTGGCTACCCAGTGACCCTGACTGCCCTAACCTGGATTTTTACAAATAAAAAGTATTTAGGGAAGGGGACATGTTTTTTCCTAAAGAATTTCCTGAGAGTGTTGTAGCATTTAGATTTTGTGAGAAGCTCTGGCTTGCAAGAGCCGCCTGTGCTTTGATGAAGGTGTAAGCTCTTGGACAGCTGGAGTCCCCTGGTTGTGCCTGTGGTTTTGGTGCATGTGCTGCACCACTTTTTGGCACTATTATGTGCCAATACTTTTTGGTTGTATTCTATGTGAGCAGGATGCTGTGCTCTGGTATTGAATTTATGTGAGTGAATCCATAGCAGATGCATGAATGATTTTTGTCGATCATCCCAACGAATGCTAATGCAGCATTTCTACTAAACCGCATCACCAGGACCTTTGTGGCTTGCAGGTTTTTTGTATTTTGCAGGTATAGGCTATCTGGTAAAAATGCTTTTTTCCCCTCCTTGTCTTTGCCTATAAAAGCAGGACTTCTCCAGCATTCTGATCACAGTTACATGGGCTCTACAGGGAAAGGTAGGGCTTGTAGTATTATACAGAGTAAGTTTTCAGCACATACTGCCTGATGAAGAGACAGCATTATTCACTTTGTCCTGAAGCCTTGTGTTTGGTGTAACCTGTTCTTTGTAGTAAGTGCAATTCTTGTTTCAAGCAGATTTGTGCCCATGATCTGAGACAGAATTAACTGTGCCCAGTTGACTTTGTGAGTGCAACTGCTGCCTTTGTCTGCTCTTGGGGATTTTCACCAGGGTCTCCAACTGTGTTCACAAAAGAGCTGTCACGTTGACAATCTCAGACCTGTCATGATAGTGAAGAAAACAGCAGTATCAGTGTCCTGACCAAATTAGTGTCCCCACTGACTGCCTGCCACAATTGTCACGGGAGTGTTTTGATTGAAAGACCAGGATCTTAAAACTGATCAAAACGGAGCCCAGGTGTTCTTTGTCCCTTTGGAAGGACTCTTCCCTTTATGTGTAGTGTTTATGAGTCTAGGAATTAATATTTCCTGCTTGACCCTTTGAGCTACTGTGATTTGGAGGTGAAGGGGAAAAAAAAAGAAGCTCTTTTCTGAGTTTTGGTATCATTTAAGGTCTGTTAAAAAAAGGGCCACCAGTCTGAAATGGATATTTTTAAAGTTACTGATATTTGTGGAGAAGGATTAATGGCTAATGGGTTTTCTCATCTTACTTTTTTGAACATTTTAGATAATTAATAACTGTGGAAGAGGCTTTTTTTGTTTTAAGGTTTTATAATGTACATGTATGTTAGTGATCTCTGTTTGTGACCCAACAGGAATTTGGCTCTGTAGATACTGGGCTAGAAAAAGATTACCAGTAAAATTCTTCAGAAGATCTGAGACTTTTAATTGCTTCTAAAATGTGGTGGTGTTTTGACATAAGGGTTTGAAAAACAGTCATTTGTGGTAGCCAGCATAACTCCTGGGTATTTTTTATGCCAACCATCTGAAACTTATGCCATTAAAGCCTTTATCTGTATTTGCAGTATCACATATTTTCATCTTGTTCTCTTGAGCATATGATGTGATGTTGTATATAGCTAAATGTGAAATCACTTGGCTCTTTGCCAACCTGCGTGCAAATCTGTTTCTTTAAACCTCTCTGTTTTTGGCATGTTAATTGTTATTAAAAAAAACCCCACAAAATAAAATTGTATTTCCTAATGGCCACCAAAGCAAGTTGCAGTGGCCTCATCACTGTCATCAATATCAGTTGATGGGAAGAGGGATTGGGATTTGTGTTAATGGCCGTGAGCTGGAGAGATTTATTCAGGAGGGCATTGCTCAGCACGCTTCCCCTGCAGTTTAATGTGTTGTTCAGAAGGGCAGATGACATTGCTTAGAATTAGGTAAGTCTCAGGAAAAAAGGCCGTTTCCAATTAAGCCACACTCTGCTAAGAAGGAAATGGCAGTATTAGGACTTTATGAGCCAATAATTGGACACTTAATCTAAAATTTGTTCTTGTCCAAGCAAAATGTGGAGGCTTAAACTAATGGTACTGCTTTTGCTGGTAGATTAAGCAATGGTAGTTGAATGAAATAAATGTTTGTTATTATCTGTGGTATCCTAAAGGGTGTCTGTAGTAGAGCTGTTTTGTGTTTTCTGGGTGTTAAGACATGGATTGAGGAAACTTGATTTATTTCGTTTAAAAAATTGGAAGGGAAAAATTGACAAGCTGTTAAACTGAGAAATCTGGATGAATTGTTGGTGAGCAACCTTTCAGCTCTCCTACTTGATTCTTCAAAAATTGTAAACCCAAGCCCCTGACATTTATTGGGGATGTTTACAAAACATCCAGGAGCGATTGCCAGCCCATAGGAGATGGGGAATGAAACTCTTTTGGGATACACCTTTTAGAATGGTTCTGAATTGTTCTCCTCTCTTCTAAGTGCTGAGATGCTTTTGGCTTCCCTTTTCATCTTCATCTTTTCTGTAGACAAATCAAGTAAAATAGGACTGTAATTTCTCTACAGCCAAAGTGAAACATCACATGTCATGAGGTGTAGAAACTGTGTTGAGCAACACAGGGAGAGAAACTTGTTTAAATCAATACCTAAATAAACACAAAAAAGTGAGTTTTAAAGGTCAGATTCTGCTTTTCTTTTTTTTTTTTTTTTTT